CTTATCACCCAGGCCCTCGGGAGAAGAGGCAAGACAGACCTGTGTTTGAGACCAGCCTGAGATACAGCAAGGCCTTGCTCCCCAACAGAGAGGGAGAAACGAACTTGGAAACTCACAGGGAATCACTCGAGCTAGCCGAAGGCCAAGAGAATAGTGAAAAGCCTGATTGTCCATCAACATATCAAGGCAGTGACAGCATCCATGCCATATCCTGAAACTAATGAAAAGACACGAAAAACCCAGAGAACGGTTGCAAAAGTAAATAGTAACACTAGGATAACCAGCTCCCACACAATAATTAAACATTACACAAAGATAGAGTAACCAAGACAACACTGCAGGGCATGATGCATTAGCCACCTACAACACAAGTTCGTAATGTGTGCCTGACATTTCTATATTACCTCTTACCTCCTTCAAAGATGTAACATATGAACCGATGTAGCCCCTGTATGGCTAAGAACACAAAACCCCTGGAACATACTCTGCTGTACTTCCCCGGTAATTGGATTCCTTTCTGGTCACTAGATAAGCTGGACCTCCACAGAATCTTTGTAGGCTTTGCAATTGATAGCTTGCAGATGCTCCAGTGAGGGAACTCCCAGTCCATCCAACCTAAGTTCATTCTCCATAAAAGAGCCCAAGCTGTTGGGTCCAAACAACACAGTGAAAGAGAAGTTGAGCATTTTTTTTTTCTAAATAGATTTGTAGTTCACAGGGACAAGTCAATATGATTAAAAATCATTCAATGCTGGAAGTGTCCTGTTACTTTTCTCGAGCATTAGCTTATTAAATTATGAAAGGCAATAGTTCTTTCTACTCCATACACAGTTGGATGCAGTAAGAAGTGCCCCATAAGCAGAGACATTGTGCGAGCCTCAAAATCATCCGAAGAATGAGTACCACCTTGCCATGAGGAAACAATGGGACGGGTTGATTAGTGGAAGCATGGGAGCATGCTACCGAGTGCATTCTGGAGTGGACAAGCAGAGAGGAAGCCTGCAAACATGTCCTTAAGATCTACTGGGGCAGAGACAAAGGGCGTGCGGTGGAAGGTGGCAGAAACATCTGGAAAAGAGCTAGGGAGAAAGGAAAATCCATACTGAGTCTTGGTCATTTGTCACTAGATGAAAGCAAGCCATCCCAAGTTAAAAAGCAAGAGGCATAAATGCAGTGCAGATCTGAGCCTTGGGAGATAAACATGGCAACCGAATGGAATTATATACCTGAGAATCACTTAGGAGGAATTTTAAGGGGGCATAGCTTAGTGTCTGTTATTGTCTTGGCACTAGGATCTTTCCTTCCCACTGCTGACACATTTAAAGGTACTCTGTACAAGACCCAAAGAGTTGTTGACAGTGATGAAGAATTCTTGAAAACAGCTCTTCTGGGGTTGTCCAGAGCTTGAAATCCTAGGATCTGGGATACTGAAGAAGAAGGAGGCTCCTCGGGAGTTTAAGTCTCTCCAGGGCTTTTTGGTGGGACTTTGTCTCAGTGCAGTTTTAGCTTGGGTATACACTGGGATCATCAAGGGTACTCTGAGGAAGACTGTGGGCTGATCTTCAGCCTTTGGGACTAAACATGGACAGGAGCCTCATGTTGGGCTTTCTCGAAGCCTGTCACAGGACTCTGGAACTTATACGTTTGAGAGTTGCTTCACTAAAACCAGACCCATGATCACTGTAGGTCTGGGCATTGTTTTGCTTACGTTGTAACAACCTGAGGTATGGCTGCTCCTCATACCCTCGATGTATGTTTAATCCAAGGATTTTCTTCTTCCTTCCAAGTGTTCTCATTAAATTTATGATACTATGCTGTCTTAGAAATAAGCCGGATCATGTAAAACCACAGGTAAAATGTGTTCGGTAGAATGGGAAGACTGTGATGCCTAGCCATCGCCCATAACCAGTGTGGCTGGTTAGTCATCTGTCTCTTTGCTTCTTATTCTCATCTGTCTCCTCATACCATCCTGAAGTAACTCATGCTGTTTGTGTTGGATGTCTGTTGGCTTCGTGATTTAGTCTACATGTCCCTATATTTGTACTGTTGCATACTCCAACCTTTGACTCTTAATCAATGGTATTTCCATGAGCATTTACCTTTGCCCCGACCGGAGGGACAGTGAACTAGGATCCAGGTGACCTGGAAGAGAGAACTGGAGGACAGGGAACATGAAGAAACACCGCTTGTCTATAGGCTGATCAAACCTCTGATTTTACTTTTTTCACACAGGGGTTATATGTATATAGAGGCAGGATGTGGGGAAGGGGCTGACACAGGAGCTTAGGTGTTCAGGAGGAGTACAGATATCTTCCAGAACAGAGGGTCAGCAGGGTGAAGGTTCAGGGGACAGGCCACTATGACTCCGCCTATGATTCATTTGTCTTTATCTAAGTTGGTACTATCCACCAAGGCTACCTATCTACAAGGTCTATGTATTCAGCCTGGCAATTTTCCACCAAAGCTGCTTGTTTACAATAGCTTCTAGGCAACTGTTTCAGTGTTTTTCCACAGAGACCCAAGACTTTGTGTTAACAGGCATGTATGTCAGGCCTATTGCTGATTTTAGGCATATGGCTGATTTTAGGTCTTCAGTGTATAAGCAGGGCTGCTCCTGACGTACCTTCTACTATTCTGTCCTAGAAATAGCGACCACAATCATCTAAGATTCAATCTTTGTCTTGATGTAGCATTTCCTCATTCTAGTCACTCTGGTTCCAGTGGTGTGTGTGTGTGTTTGTGTGTGGCAGAGATATTTATAACAATTTGGCAAAAGTCATAGTTTACAACTAACAACCATTGCTAAAACAGGACTTCATCACATTCTCCTATATCCCTTCTGTTCCTCTCTGCTTCTCTCTTCCCCTCTCTTTCTTTCCTCCTCTCTCCCTCTCCCTTTGTCTCCTCTCTCTATCCCCTCTATCCTTCTCTTTCCTTTTCTCCCTCTCTCTATCTCCCTCTCCACCTCTGTCTCTCTCCCTCTCTCTTGTTGTCTCTCCCTCCTCTCTTCCTGTCTCTCTGCCTCTCGCCCTCCCTCTTCCTTTCTCTTTTTGCCATCTTCTCACTCATTCATCCCTCCATCATCCTGACTTGGAGATTTAAGCCCAGAGGTTTATTGTGGCAGGTGAAACAGAGAAGACAGGGGTGAGCTTTTAAAGCCGGAACTGATGAGAAGCATGGGCATCTTAGGATTCCTAGGGATGGTGAACAGCAGCAGCAAGACGCAGGCTGAGACATGCCACAGAGATCATGAGATCTTTGATTTCTTGATGATTGTATTCTGACTGCCAAGATCAACTTCACACACATAGTTGATAGTTATTAATTATTTTCTATGTTGCTGAATTAGTTATTGTACGGAAAGACTAGTGAAGAACACAGTATCAGGTATGTGACTTTTAACATGATCTTAAATCACTAACCATATACCCAGAGACAGACACTGACCAACAGATCCATTCACCTGGGAGACATCACCTACATATTTTTTGAAAAATAATAATGCTAGTCATATTAGTTGCTAACTTCTACATCAGACAATCACATGACAGATTTGTAGAGATGGTTATGCTAGATTGTATTTTCCAAAAATAACCTTAATTTAGTATGTAGATGTATGTGCACCTGCCTGCCTCTGCCTCCCTAGCGTACACCACCACATCAGCTTGTCTGTAATCCCAGCACTGGGGCAGCAGAAATGGGAGCATCCCTGGAACTCACTCACCTGCCAGTCAAACCAATCAATGAGCTCATGTTCCATGAGAGAAGTGCCTGGAAAAAAATACAGTGCAAAGTAACTGAGATACCTGACGCCGGCCACGGGTCTCCACATGCAACGCAAAGCCAGACGCTTGTGTACGTACCCTCATGCGTGCATACATACACAAACACTCACACATACATTACACACACACATAGAATTAACACTTGCAGGTGTGGTTTCTAAAGGATGGTTTCCTCCATTTTGGGAGGTGGCGACTCTTTAAACAGTATCTCACTGCTACGAGACAAGAGTGTGACATTTTCACTGAGGGAATTCATGCCAAATGTATTCACTGTGTTGGACGTTAAACCTAGTTATTCTTTGAAGGGATGAGGTCTTCTAGCTGTTACCTCTGAGGTTGTCCCAAGGCATGCCCATAAAACCAAGTACCTGAAGAAATTTCCCATCAACGACTGGTTTTTACCTTTACTTTTAGCGTATGTTCATTGCATATAGTGGTGGGATTCATAAAGACTCTTCCTCTCACGCGGATTATGCATTTTGATCATAGCCACCCATGCCCCTCCCCTTCTCACTTCTTAACCAATTAACATCCCCAAGCTCTCTCACTTCTGGTTTCATGTCAGTATATATACTGTGTGTATGCATGCGCACGTGTGTGAGTGTGTGAGTGTGTGAGTGTGTGTGTAGATAAAGAAGTTATTCTATACAACTGTATAAAATCCAGAACCACAAATGAAAGGAGACATGTAATATTTGTCTTTCAGAGTAGGGCCTTCTTACTTAACGTGATGCTCTTCAGTTTATGTTCTGTCCCAAGGGACATAATTACCTACTTTATTGTGATTAAGGCTGCACTATGTGTATGCCCTGCTCTTTTTTGATGTATTCACTTGTGGACAGATGCCCAGGCTTATCTTAGGCCTTGGCTTCAGTGACTAATGCTACAAGAAGTGTGGGTGGCTGGCGTCGGTGTGGCAGGTTGCATGGGCATCTTTCAGGTCCACATGCAGGCAAGAGACATATAGGTCACATGGTGGTTCCCTTTTTAGCATGTTGAGGAACCCTCACACTGACTGGATGGACCAATCTCCCCTCAGATTCATCAATTGGTTGTTTTCCTCAGTGTTGCTTGCTTTCTTGGCGATAGACATTTTGACAAGGGCGAGATAGAATCTGGATGAATAACCTCCTGTTCTAGTGATATAAGGGCTTCACAGGGAGGAACAAGGGAGCACCAAGACTTCTTCTCTTTGATTCGCTCTCTCACGTTCAGCAGGTTCAAGGTCAGCTGCCGCCATTGATGATCCCCGTGTTCCCTCCTGACCAGCGGACCCTCGCAGCAGCTGCCCAACAAGGATTCCTCCTTCCTCCTGGTTTCAGCTACAAGGCTGGGTGCAGTGAGTACTCTGAGCTTTTAATTCCAGAGTGGGTGGAGGGTGTGGCTTTTAATTGGAGTATTTAAAGTAACCACCACACCAGGATATTAGTTCACTCACAGAGTGGGAGGTTAAACACAGTGATGGTGTAGGAAGGGTTTGTGTTAGCTTACATAAGCACCGTAAGCACGTATCTCATGTCTGTGTCCCCAAAGCCAGTACCTGTCCTTCACACCTCCCCTTTATGCCTTCCACTTCCAGTGTACTGCTAAAATATGAATATTATGTTGGAATTCACTTTTAAGAACTGTTTTCCTATAGTTTTGCATTGTCCAATAATTTAACCTCGAATTCCCTAGAGAGCATGGGACCTTTGTGTCCTCCATATATTAATAGTCCGTTGTAGTTGGGATGTGAAATGACCTTCATAGACTCGGGAATTTGGGACAGCCTTCCCTCCCCCACCCATGGCGATGGTGTTTGAGAAGGTTATAGAAGCTTTAAAACACAGAGACCTTCTGGAGGATGTAAATGACCTCGGGTAAGCCTTTAGGGTCTACGCCCCACCTAGTTACTATTTCCTCCTTGACTTTAGACTGTGGAATTTTGAGAAGCCAGCCTTACGCCCCTGTCTTGATGAAAGGCAACCCTTCGTATTGTGAACCAGAGACTGCCCTTCCTCTCTTAAGTTGCCTCTTGCTGTGTACTGTGTACAGCATGTGCCAACTCTTCCCAGTATGTCAAACCTGCTCCAGATCATGTGAAGAGTCTATTCTTCGACCTAGGGTGGACACTTTTCCCCTGGCCCCTTTGTGTCATTTATGACTTCCCAGTTGTTCGATATAATTTAAAGGTTTAAAGACTAGAAATAAGTGTTAAAATCACAGGTATAAAAATGCAAAACATTAACTAGAAGGAGAATTAGAATTAATTTCTAGTCAAGCTGTGCAGAGATTCTTAAGCTAAGTATCCCAGCTCAGAACTCAGGACTATAAAAATCTAGACCTCCATTTTCCCCTCTGTGTGAGTGTTTACTGATTTAGCCTATATCCCTCTTGACTTGGTGTTCCTGTGTTTTCAAATGAGTCAACGTATTTTCTCTCCATCCTGGACCCTTGACTTACCATTTCAGAATACAATTACAGAGTTCAAACTTTATAGATCATCATTTAGTCTAGACACATAGAATTCTTTTTATAAAAGGATAATTAAAGGCTGTATTCTAAGGATTTAAAATTCTCAGAATAATTTCCGTTCTAAGGATGGAATTTTATATTCTATTGTATCACTAAGCTTCGTGTTTGTAAGCATAAAGGGTCTTTGGTTTTCTTTCTCTTTGTGTAAAGAACTACTCCTCACCTGAAACACACGCAGCCAACGCGATTGTGGTTTTTTTGTTTTGTTTTTGTTTGTTCATTTGTTTGTTTTTGTCATCGAGCTGACTAAAGCAGCAAGAGGCCACTGCTTAAAAAAAAAAATCATCCTTTGCCTCAGACTGCATTGCAAAATACCCATGTAGCATCATTTTCTTTTCCAAAAGAAAAGTAGGTATATTTTTAAACAAATGTAGAAGTGAGTTCATTGGCAAATACTAGGCAGAAGAGAAGAACAAAGTGAGGGTGAGCATTAGCACACATCAGAGCCAGACACAGTCGGGAGCACAGGGCTCCTCACTGGCCTCTGGCAGCTGCCATGTTCAATATTTCCAGCCTCCGTGTCTCATAGACCGAACCAAGTTTTACCTTTGTGAAAACAGTTGGTATTTTAGCTGTTTGATATTCATGTCTTCCAGTGCTTAAAGTTATAAACAATACCACTCCTTCAGTTACCTTGGAAATAAAATTGAATAAATCTTTTTTACCGCTGCTGGCCAACTTCAGGTTGGCACCTTGCCAGACTCTAGAACTTAGCAGAAGTATGTTGTGAAAGAAAGTGGCCGCCCTTGTTGACACCTGGGCTCTTGGGGCAAGCCTCAAGAAGGAGCTGGGTGGGCATGAGACAAACTCCGTAGACTGTCTTTCCACTGATCACACTACAGGAAAAGGAAGTAGAGGTCAAAATAAAGCTTGCCACCCTGTCTTCAGTGTGACTGCTCACTCCATTTCCCAGTGACTATCAAACTGATTTCTGTATATGGCAGTCTCTTTGAATGTTGTGATGTAGTTCTCAGTGACAAACACTGGCCAGCCCACATACTGTGTGGATCCAAAACCAGAAGCTATTCATCAGTTTGTGAAACACCAGACTGAGGTTTGTTCAGGAGCTGAAATGTGGATAAATGTTCCTTATAGGCTACTGGCTGAGGAATTCGGCCACTGCAGTCTGAGTCAACAAATCTTATTTGCAGAAAAAGAGGCTCCTTGGAGAACAGAGGTATCGGTGGAAGTGTTGGCCTTGTTTGGAAAATAATGATAATAGTGTTTCCTGCCATGGAGCGAACAAACAAAATTGGCCCATAGCTCTTGCTACAGCAATGAGCAGCGCAGACTGAACAGCAGAAGTTAGCAGTTGGAGACCTCAGAACACACTGACTGGATGCACAGAAAGGAGTCAGTAAGGGTCCTCCAGGCCCTCCTGTGAGGCTTCCTGTCAGTTTCAGCCGAGAGTGTATTGATAAGACACTTTAGCATTCTGTTTGGGCACATGATTAAGCCAAAAATGCACAACCCCATGTATCCACACAGAAATCTTTATTCTACCCCATTTCTTAAGACCTCAAAAGGTGCTTGTAAACTTCTGTGGGGGGATTAATTGTTTATTATTGTCATTGTCGTTAATCAGAGACCTAGCCTCACTCTGGGGTCTAGTCCTCCTGCCTCAGCCCAGGGCATCTTGGGATTAGAGATATCATCAGTCTCAGTACTCGACCAATAATCAAGATGACATAGTAAATCAAGTGTCATCTCGTGAGAGAGGGGAGACATGAATTTGAAAGACTCCTATGGAAACAGTCTTTCAAAAGTCTATGAAAAGTCAACCGTATCTTACCCAATTCACTCAAGGAAAGGAAGTAACTTGTTTGTTCTTTCTAAATTCTTAAGCAGGCTACAATGTGAGAAATAAGTTTATAATGCAATTTACAATATCAAGACTAACATATATCTGACAGTACTAGCTCATTGGAAGCGGAAAGTAATCATGACAACCCGTTAAATAAGTCTGGAGTGCAAAGCACTCAAACTGTTAGTTCTGAATTCTAAGCCAGGTGGGTACACATGCAGTTCAGTTCAGTCAATCCAGGGGCCTCAGGAATGAAAACACACAGTCTTCAGAGTAGACGCCCAACTTGTGAAGAAAAACTTTAACTCTTGAGCTCTGAGGCTTCAGCCAGGCACCTACCTTCAAATAAAGGGTTAAACAGTACAAGTACTTTGTGTTGGAACACATCCCCTGTGGTTGTCTATCATAGAAAACTCAATCTTATCGTAAAGGAATGAGATAAATTTGTTGTGCGTGTATGTTGGTGTACACCAAACACTTTCAACCTGGGCCAACCTTGAAAGGCCTTGACTGGTGGAAGGGTTGAGGGTTGATTTGCAGCTCTCTCTCTCTCTCTCTCTCTCTCTCTCTCTCTCTCTCTCTCTCTCTCTCTCTCTCCCCTCCCCCTTTCCCTCTGTACATGGCATACAGCAGATGATTTTCAGGAACCCCCCCTGTTCCGCTACAGTGTTTAGTTTAGAGACAGAATTGGCAGGAGGAGATGACTCAATTATTGGTAGCCATAGATCTCCCTTCTTTTCTCTATTTGGGCACAAAATTTCCAATCCTATAATTCTAATAGTCACAAGCACTGGAAATTTTGAGGAGGAGGCATTTTATATGGAAATAATAAAATCTTGAGAAAAGTCAAAATTCAGTAAAAGGACAGCTTTTGTGCACACTATAAAAACAAGTTGGAAAAGAACTGGCTTGGTCACTTAGCACAGGGTGCAGACTAGAATGTGTCATATGACCAATGACACAGAGTCATCTTGCTAGATGGACAGGAACCCAATGTCCTGTGCCATGGACCTGGGAGTGGCCTTGGTTGGCTCCCAGGGGCACGTTGGGTATTTTAACAACTCAAAGAAAATATAGAGGCATCTATTTGGCACTTTGTAAACTTCTATATTTAAATCATGTGGACTTTTCTACTTTATAAGGAGGGATGAATGGATTTTCTTTTCTCCTAAAGGTGGCATTCTATGAGTAGGGCACTGCAAATGTCTTAACTCAGGAAGGTCTTGGGGATTTCTGCCTAGGGTAGTGTTACTACAACAACAACAACAACTGCTACTACTACTGCTCTACTATTTCTCTTCCCCCTCCTCCTCCTCCTCCTCCTCCTCCTCCTCCTCCTCCTCCTCCTCTTCCTCCTTCTCCTCCTCCTCCTCTTCCTCCTCCTCCTTTTTCTTTCTCTTCCTCTTCCCTCCATCCTCCTTGCTTTAACTCTATTATTACAGAGTTTATTTTCTAGACCAAGAAGCTGTCATGAACATAAACTAACAAAACTTATTCCCACATAATTCACAGAACCATGTGTACTGTTGTGAAGATAATCAAATCATAGATCTATGCCAGTTGATTCTTTCCTGTATATGACTGAAGGCTCTCTGTTGTGTTTGTTTTGCAGAATTTTTCCAGTCCCAAATAGGCAACAGCAGATTAGGAGGTACTTGCAATGGCAGAGCGGGGAGGTTGGATCAGGTTCTAAATCTGCTGCTTTGCTCCCCCTCTGTCAAGTCCAGTGGTTTGAAAGAGTAAATGCCCCACATAGACTCACACATGTGAATATCTAGTCTCCAGTTGGTGGCGCTGTTTAAGTCAATTTTGGAACTTTTATAATGAAAGATGGAGGAAGTGTATCCTTACAGGAAGACTTAGAATTTACAGCTTTACCCTACTTCCTCTCTCTCTCTCTCTCTCTCTCTCTCTCTCTCTCTTTCTCTCTCTCTCCCTCTCTGTCTCTCTCTCTGTCTCTCTCTTTCTACCCCCTGTGTGTAGATGAAAGTGATATCTTCCTCCCTGGCTCTGCTTTTGCTCCTGCCTGTGCAACAAACATTCCCTGACATTTCAGTCTCTTCCTCCAATAGAGACACATTCAGCCAGGGCTGGCTCAAAGGGATTCTTTATAGGAATAAACATTTTCAAATTCATCAACTAAATCAGACTCTCCCAAAGGATTTAACTTATTAAATTTGAGGAATTGAGAGAATTGGGCATCTAAGGCAAAAAATAATCCCAATCATTTTAGCACAATATGGAAGGAAACCTGAAGATCTGATAAAATCTGCCTTTCTCTGCTTATTGACATGGGACCTGCTGTCTACAATGGCCAGGACCTGGGCTTCCTTCCTTGGTTTGGTTTAATAAATGTGTACCATGTTGATGAATTTTGGCTTATGCTTTGGTGACTGTTAGACACTGATTGCCTATGACCTGTGTGTCAGCTGACACTGTGGACTCTGTTAAATCAGAAATTAGCATGTGGTCTTCTAAATGCCAGATCACAGACCCTGTGCACAAAAGAGACTCAGTAGAACCCACAAGGTCTCCCGTCAGGCAACGACACATGTGGTATTAACTAGAAACAGGAACATGACAAGTTTGCCTGAAGAAGTCGATGGTATTTAATTCCTAAGCATTAATTTTATTGTGGCATATGAGGACCTAATTAACTGAGAGTTTCCTTTCTTATCGGAAGAGGAAACAGTGTTCAGAAAACTGACACAGAGTAAATAGGGCACATTTCAAGTTTATTAAGCCGGGCTTATCAGCTTCTATTTACTTAAGCTAATCTCATAAGGCAATTAAGTACTTCAATCACTATATTGCTATTTTATTTAGCACACTTCTGAAAAATTAATCGATGTGCTAAAATGCAAAAAGAACATGTGATCGAATCTCTGCATCTCTAGTTTCACAAAGCCAAGAGTGACTAAACACAGCTCCTTCAAAAAAAAATTCACATAATTGTTTCCAACATGAGCCAAATAAACGACAAGTGGAAGCAGACATGTGAAAAACGATAACAGGGAACATCCCAAAGTTGGTCATAATAAAACAGTAAAGGTTGGGGATGCATCAGACCAGGGGTTGGAATCATTTGCCACTCATCCAGAGGATCTGATCTGATTTCCAGCACCCAGATTGGGTGACTCACAACCACTAGTAACTTTTTCTTCAGGTGATCTGACAGGTCTTTTGTACTTGGTGGACACCCACATGCATATGGGATACACTTACACAGACACATAAATAGAAATAAATTATGTCTTAGAAAGAGGTATGTTTCAAAAGAAAGGTAGACTTCCATCAGCATCCCCCACATCTGCAAACTCTGTTAATTTTCCTCAGTCATGGGAAGCCACATCTAGTCTTGAGCCTGATCCTTGAAGAAGTGGAGGTCACTTACAAATGCTGGGGGTAGTTTTCTAAGCATGTCTGTTGGTGGCTACTGGACCTATGTCTTTATGACATCATCTTTTCTCAGAATCTCTTAAGGTCAACACTTCCTTTTGTGCCTTCACTCTTTGAACATCCAGGCAGACACAGGAGCAGTCCCAGCTATTTCATTTGATAATTGATATTTTTAATTGACTCATTATAGCTATTTCTAAAGAAGACAAATCTTTGTCACATCACAATTAGGTATTAAGCGAGCGATCCAACTCTGGAAGTAAAGACAGGCAGAATTAAAATCCTGTCACTCATTGTAGGTCACAGCCCAAATTGAGTCCATCCATTCCAGGCAGCTTATTCCTAACCTCCAAGGACAGCTGTGCTATGTGCTTCCTTTGGAAGTGAGGAGGTTCTATTACATCACCCCCAAGTATCTGAAATGTGCCATTTAGTCTTGTAGGCTAAGAGTCATCCCACATATATTTCTCGCTAGCTGTTTTCCTCCCTGCCACCCCAGTTACACTTCTCATCATTGTGGTCAGTGTATGACATGAGGCAGTCTACAGGAGGGAGGGGTTTAGGGAATGATGGTCGTGGGACCCTGAGGGGGAGCATTCATTGTCCCAGCTCTTGCAAGCCAGAGCACCCAGCTTCCTCTGGTAAGGCTCATCCTCTTAAAGGTTCCACAACCTTCTAAACTGGAGGCCAATCACTCACATGAGTCTCTGGTGGATATATCTATGCAAGCCAGGATACCTGAAGACCACAGACTCTGAGCACAATCCAGGAAATGAGATGTCTATTCTGACAGATAGAACAGCAAACTGCCTATAGAAAAATTGAAAATCTTTAATTACATGCTAAACCCTAAGGACAAGTTGGATATGAAAGGGAAAACGCATTTGATTGTGTCTAAATTGACTTAAAAGAATTTCCTTCTCCTAAATTGCTTCCTCTTAATATTGTAATCCTATTAGGTCCATGTTCTCCACAACATTCCGTTCCTCATTAAGACACAGAGGCAGGACTCAGATGTATATCCTGGTATAATTCTGGATGCGAAAGCAAGTAGTTAATGATGGGCAGCTCACTGTGAGTTACTGTGCAGTCATTTAAATGGTGCCTCTGTAGTAATGCTAGAACATAGAAGCAAAAGGCACCTTCCAAAGAAGGTCCCCTTTTCAGAGATAGCAAAGTTCCTGAGATAATTAATCCAGAGTTTCCATTCACACTAGAATTATCCAATCCCCACCCAAGAGCTGAAAGAAAAACAGATACTTCATCGTTGATATGCTGAAAGGTCTGTCTGTTCTGAGAGGTATTTCCTGAAGTGTTCATAAATTAATCTCTTTCTAACTAGCTATTGAGGTAACTATTAAATAGGATAAAGTTTTCATTTGGCACGCTATATTAAAACGTCATAAAACTATTTTATTAAAAGAACCTCCTATCGGAAAAAAATGTTAGCCTGTGACAGAGTACTTAAGAGCTAACGATTATCTCAGAAGGTCTTCTTTTAAAATATCTATAGAGCCAAACAAGGCCCAATATATTTTACTTTCTCAAATAAAATTCACTAGGAATATTTACATTCAATCCTTACTGTTTGGTGTGAGTTAATACAAAATATTATTATGTCTCATAAAATTTTTCAAATAAAAATCATATTACAATATGATAGCAATTTTCTTTGCATTGAGAAAGACATTCTTTACTTCTTCATTCTGAGTTCAACAAGCTGTTTGAGGAGAGTCCTTATATATCTAAATGCTCTGGGGCTGGAATCATTGCTCAGCAGTTTGGAGCACTAGATGCTCTTGTAGAGGACCTGAGTTTGACTCTCCGTACCCATAGGGAGGCATTCTAACTCTCTGTAACTCAACTTCTAAGAGTTCCGACACCCTCTTCTGGATTTTGTGGTCACCGTGTGCATCTCTACATATAGAACTAAAATTAAAAAATAACTCTTAAAACCACTTTTAATAAATAAACACAATGAGAATGAAAGTTTAGCTGTCTTATTGGTATGAAGAGTCACATTTCAGCTTCCTTAGATTTCATAATAAGCTGGCATAAGACTATCCTGGAGATGAAGAATAATTTATCTTGTCTTTATATGACATGTTTTCCCAGTTTGTCTTCAGCAGTACTCAGGCACTTAAATAGACGATAGTAGCAACTTAGCAATGAAAACGTTTAACACTTTGGAAATACATACTATCTACTTAAAATTTGTGTGTGTTTGTATGTGTGTGTGCATGTCTGTATATGTGTGCATGCATGCAGCCTGAACAGAGAGTTCTGAACACAATTGCATGAGATGGTTCTCTCTTAGGTCAGGTAGATTACAGGGATCAAACTTGGGTTTTCAGGTCTTGTGGCAAGCCCTCCCTACCCTCTGAGGCATCTCACTGACCTAAATATAATTTACTTTTATATCTATCTAATCAGATATGAATTGCTTTTGAAATAAAAGTTCATAAAAGACAGTAGAAAAGATATTCACTCCATGAAAATATATAACAGAAAATTCATTTTTCTTTTAGACTCTTTGTAGAGTTTATCATGGTATGGAAAATTAAACCCAGGATGCCTGTGTCCTGGAGAGATGCTCTAGCCCTCAGCTGCATCCCTGGAACTGATGTCTTACCTTTTCTGTATGTTGTCACAGTGTCAGCTTCTACCCTTCTTTACTATCTGTTTGTTTTATTATAGGAAGGCAGTTCTTTTCAAAAACAAAGTGTTTGTTTGAGTTAAACACCATATAATAAAACTAATTTGTTACTTGTTTGTAGAATTATTTGCTTATAATCTGTTTCTTTCATTAAACCCTAAACTTTCGATCCACCATCACCAGTTTTAGATACTTGGCCAGCTTTGTAACTAAGTAAATCATTCATTCATTCATTCATTCTTAAAAACATTAAATGAGTAAGGTACTGTGCTTGAAAGCAGGTATTGAAAGATTTGTAAAATATAGTCTTTGCCTTTGGCATATTCATAATCTAGTTGAAAAGAATTGAATTATTCTAGTCTGAGTGTCTGTGTCTTCCAGCTCTTGGGGTGATTCTTCTAGGACCTGGGGCATTCAGGACAAATAGATCAAGGGAGAGAGAAGACCTTAGGAATAAGGATCCTGAGAGCTGCTCTGGCCTTCTGTGTGGTGGCTTCTGCAAGCAGCAGCTATGAAACAGTCTGCCATTACATGTGGAACATGTCAGTCCTTTGCTCTCGGGCATCCCAACCTCCAGAAATATAACAAGTTAATGT